TCGATGACCAGCAAACGCTTTCGCCTCAGCTCCTTCGTTTTCGCGTAAAGGGGTGCAAACGAGTCACGCTCAGCGATTGCACGTGCATATATAATTTTTTTTTAACAGCCATAAACATTTCAATGAATTTAACGAGATAACTGTATGTACTTTATATAATAACAATAATGAAAGTTGAATAATTAGTATGAAAAAATAATCTTATATAATAAATTTTATTAATAATTTTAATTAAACGTCATTTTCGGATCATCGCATGTATTTATAAGCNGCTGCAAGTCGCGGAGGTACCGAGTGTTCAACACGTGGGGAATGTTGTAAATATGACAAGGACTCGAAGGTAGAGTTTCTTTCAGGGATGTTAAAAACATTTTCACTAACGAATTTGGCCATCGAGTGGGGAAAATTCTCCCGAAGGAAAGTTGTGAGAGACGATTCAGTAGGTTTCGAGTCGTGCACCTCAACTCAATGACGGAGCCCGAAAAATCCAATAGAGTATTAGGAAATGATCCGAGTATTCGCCTAACGCAAAGATGATTATCCGCCGATTCCGATAAAAAGAGCGTCATTCCGATCGAGTCGTGCCCTTCGCGCATCGTGTAATTCACAGGCCACGCGGATAGTGAAGTTCATTTTGTGAATAAAAAACAATCGGCTCCTTTCGGAGACGTGTAATGTTAGAGTGCAACAACGACAGTGTAAGTGTTTGAAAATTTTTAAGTGAAAAGTGACAGTGGTGTAATGAAATTGAGTTTGTGTATAAAAATCAATCGGCTGCTTTCAAAGACGTGTATTGATAGGACGTAGGAGCAACAATCTTAGTGTGTTAAAATTTTTAAGAGTGATCGTGCGGTGGATTGCGGGGTTCCTTCCCTGGACAGAGGATCAGCTGTGGCCTACCTGCGAGCGGCAAGGACGCTGACCCATTGACCGTGGCCCATCGTTAGCAGGTGCACTTGCGAATGAATGGGTAAGTCTAAATCTCTACAGTTTTTACATTTTCTTTTTAATTCAATATTCCCCGCGACTTGTTAATCCTATCATCATCCATCAATTATCAACAATCTATCATTTCTCCATCCATTGCACGTGAACAACGATTAAGTGTATTAATTGTTATTCATAATAGTGCACGAACAACAATTTCCTTGCATTGTTATTCATGTAGTTTGTTAAACGCTTCGTACTGAGCGGAGCGCTTGTTCAAACGCGTGAAAAGCCGGCCGGCCGGATCGGAGCCAACGCTCCCGAGCCGGAGCGCGCGCGAACCGAGCGCTCTGATTGGTCGGTGTTTTTTGTTAATAACTCCTCAACCACGCCTCGGACAACTTTTTCGCAAAGGAAAATGTTGTTTAAAATCATGTTAGGAACCTCCCATTAAAATTCCTTACACTAGTTTTGGGACACCCTGTATTTACTGAACAAGGCATAAAAATTGATACAGATAAAGTACAAGCTATTGTTGATATGAAACCTAAGGATAAAAAGGAACTTGAAATTTTTCTTGGCATGATAACGTATGTATCAAGATTTATACCTAGTTTAGCAACTAAAAATGCTAAGTTAAGAGAGTTAATAAAAAAGAACGTACAGTGGAATTGGGACGAAAATGCAAATAAAACGTTTTTAGAGTTAAAAGATATTTGTTGAATTTATTGACATAAAGGAGTGGATTATCACAACTCGGTTTGCACAAAGAACAGATTTAATTGCTTTTAGAAGTGATCACATGTGGAAGATCGCTTGCTGGTAACTCGCATGGCAGGAAGCAGAAGACCGGTAACCGGAAGCAAGAACGTAACAGTAACGGTAGACCGGCAAACTAAAACTCTAAAATAAGACGCGCTCTGCCGGCATGTCGACCCAACCATATAAACGAATATTTTAATACTTAGATACAACAATATTCTATGTAAAGCACCCGTTCTACAATACTATGACGTAAATAAACTTGTAGTATTAAGTGTTGATGCGTCTAAAAGCGGTTTAGGAGCCGTATTATTACAAAATAATTTACCTGTAGCGTATGCAAGTAAAGCGTTGACGTAAACCGAGCAAAGATATGCTCAGATAGAAAAAGAGGCTCTAGCTATAGCGTTTGGTTGCATTAGATTTGATCAGCAAATTTATGGTAAAGAGATTTTAGTTGAGACTGATCCTAAGTCACTGGAGGCAATGTTCAAAAAATGTATAAATGATTGTCCCGCAAGATTACAAAGCATAAGACTTAGATTAAAAAGATATAATTTAATAGTCAAATATAAACCAGGCAAAGAACTGTTTTTAGCCGATCCATTATCCAGAGCATACTGCAATCACGGAAAATTAGATTTAGAAAAAGGAATTGAAACGCAAGTTTGTTTAATAATAGAGTTATTTCCAATATCTCTAGAAAGAAAAGATAAATTTAAGAAAGAAACAGAGTCTGATGAGGAAATGCGTATGTTAGCTAAATACATACAAGAAGGCTGGCCTACCAGTAAGAGTCAGGTTCCAGGTCTAATCAAACAATATTACAATTACTCAAATGAATTGAGTATAATTGATGGCTTAATTTTTAAAAGTAATAGATTAATAGTTCCTAAAAAACTAAGAAAAGAAATGTTAAATTTGATACATTACAATCATTTAGGAAAAGAGAAATGTAAAAGTAGAGCGAGAGAAATTTTATTTTGGCCTCTAATGAGTAAAGAGATAGACGACATAGTAGATAGTTGCGAGATAAGCATGAAATATAAAAAAGGAAATGTAAAAGAAACCATGATAAATAGAGAAGATCCGGATGGTCCATGAGAAACAGTTGGAATAGACATATTTTATTACCAAGGTTCCGAATTTTTGCTAATTGTAGATTATTTTAGCAAGTATGTAGAAGTTGTGAAGTTGAAAGACATGTCTAGTAGCTCCGTAATAGCTGTGTTAAAATCATAATTTGCCAGGCATGGTGTACCACGTATCGTATATTCGGATCCGGGAACGCAACTAAACAGTTCAGAAATTACTAAGTTTGCTAAGGATTAGAGTTTCACTTGAAGAACTTCTAGTGCTAAATATTACAATCCAATGGCATGGTTGAAAGACATATTGCCACTATAAAAAGGATGTTTAAAAAGTTAGATGAAAACCCAAGTAAAGATCCAAATCTTGCAATGTTAGAATATAGAAACACACCCATTGGAGATGGATTAAAATCTCCCAATAAGATTATGTTTGGTAGGGAGGTTCGCGGAATTTTACCTAACTCTGTAAATTTTGAAAAAGAGAATCGAGAAATAAAAGAAAAACTAACAGATGGAAAACTGCGTCAAAAAGAATACTATGATACAAACGCGCATAATCTCAAACCTATTAATGTAAACGACAAAGTATATGTAAAGAGAGAATCTAATAAGCCTCTGCTTCCAGCTAGAGTAACCAAGAGGTGCGACAGGCCTAGATCGTATGAAGTAAAACTACCGAATGGAAATAAAATAGAAAGGAAGCGTAGGCATCTTTATGGTCCGATATATAATGGTTATGACAAAAGCGAAAGTTCGAATCATAAAACGTTAAATGTGAATGATCATTCAGATAAGAGTTTCGAGAATGGTTCCCACAGTAAAAATGTAAATGTATCTACGAGAACTAGTTCTCAAGTAACGAGCACGCAAACGCGCTCAGGGAGAGAGGTCAAAAACAACAACAAAAACAAACAAAAGACCAAGTCATCTGAATGATTATGTTCAACGCTAAATGCAAGTAAAGTCCTCAAGGGAGGGGGATGTCATGATTGTAATGACTTGAGGTTGGCAGCACTAGCCATAGGCATAAGCGCGGCTGCCCTTTCAGTCAGTATCAGTGTTAGTATCACTTGAGCAAGATTAGGCTTAGCACGTTTCGGTCTCCAGCGTCATCATCAATCATTCGTTTCTATATTATCAATTGGATAACGGGTATGACTGACTTGTTCAAATTCCGCAATATCGTTTCTGAGAGTAGTAGGAGTGAGGAGGTGGTGAGGAAGAGAAGTTGGGGGTGGAATATTCCATGCTTTCCACTGCTCACAGCATCGAGGATCATGTTCATATCAATGTTTAATTCATCCAAGATTAAAGTACAAATAGTTAATTGGTTGGAAAAAAATTGTTCAGTTTGATTATTAATGGTTTTGATGAATCGTTTATAAATTTCAATGTTACGTGTGCTTTGCTCATTGAGAGCTGCACTAGCATGACTTTCCGAGTTTAACATAGTTTTAATGATTTTCGTTTGGTTGGAAATGCTGTTTGCCAATAATTTATTCCCGTCGTAGAGTTTATCGAACTCTTTGTTAATGTAATCCATATCATTTTGATCCAAAGTTCCAAAAAGTGCTTTAGACACACTTCCAATGGCGTTAATAAGTCCTCGTCGTTCTCGAACCGTATTTTCGCGCAATACGCTTCCTAAAAGGTTCCTTAGATCATCAAGTCGTCTCAGTTTTCCCTCGAGAACTTCAATTTCGAATTCTTCGGTGCAATGATTATAAGCGGCAGCGGTGTCGGTGAAGATCTCATTGAGTTTCACATATCGCTCATGAATTTGACTCACATCAATACCCATGACCAACTTCCACTCTTCATGATGAATTTGAGCAGTTCCAATAAATTCCGAATAGATTGTTGTTCCCTTCAGTGAGCATGTTGTCAACTCATTAGCCGTGATCACGGTAATAAGAAGGAAGAACAGCATGATCACTGTAAGGAGAGAATGACGTATGAAATAAGATTTCAGTCTGTTTACATGTACATTAAGTTCTTTATCCTTATTTATCATTTCGTAGTTGTTGTTGGATAATTCTGAAATTATTTTAAAAGGTCCGTTCCATTTGGGAGACAGTTTGTTTTGTTTATGATCGTTGTGAATCATAACCATGTCACCGGGTTTGAATATTGGCATAACTTTAAAAATTTTAGAGTCATGTAATTCTTCTTGTTTAGCTTTGGCTTGCACCAATCGATTTCTCGCTCGTTTCCTCCAGGCATTAATGAGCTCGCTGTGCGTAAGAAGCGTTGTTGTCCCCAAGACGGAAGGCAGGTTTGCTTGACGTCCGAAGGTGAGTTCAAATGGTGTTTGATCCAGACTCTCATGTTTGAACGTATTGTAGGCTAGTGTCATGAATTTTAAATTCTCATCCCAATCAGTAGCGTTTTTGTCCATGGTTGTTCTAATAAGATCTTTTACTACAGCGTGAGCCCTTTCGAGCGAGCCGTTTCTTTGTGGATGAAAAGCCGTTGTCTTCACATGTTTGATTTGGAAGAGATTCTCGAAATCTTGTATGAGATTTGATATGAAATTAGCACCTTGGTCGGTGAGTATGCTTTTAGGTGAACCAAATATATAGATGAAATGCTCAAATAATTGTTCGATAATAGTCTCGCTATCTGTTCTAGCCAATGGTATCAATGCAAGATATTTATCAACGTATCTTGGATGCTCAGAATGTATTTGTTGCCTCTGCAGGAGATGGGCAATGGTCCAAAAATATCCATTGCTATCTTTTTATTTGGTTCCACCGCAGTGTCAGGGATCACTGCTTCTAAACGTGACCAAATACGCGTTAACTTTTGTCGTTGGCAAATATCGCAACCATTAATAAACTTTACGACATCTTCCTCGATACCCGTCCACCGAGCAATTTTCTTTATACTGTCATAATGTAAACATTGCCAATTTCGGTGCACGTCCTCAGAAACTTCTCCAAGATGAGGCTGCCGTAGACACCGGTGCACCCCGTGAGGAATACATGTTTTCCGGCCTAGAAATTTAATATCTGGCCATTGCTTTTTTTTCGAATTGCTCGTCACATTTATTTTTAGAATATCACTTCTTTCTCTGCGGCAACTAACGCTTGTACTTTTTGTCGTCACTTGACAAAATGTAGTTCATCGAATTTCTGAATGATGCTGTCTATATGGCACTCGGTTCGGCGGTCAAGGAAATGCGTGATCTCATTGTTACCCTTTACACGTGCTGATTAATAAGGAAAACATTGCATTTGATTTGCATTCGAACAATGGATATTAAAAAAAATTATTATTGAGCCGAATGACTAGAATTCATTTTCTAGCAGTGTCACCGCCAATGTTAATTTATGCATTTTTTTTAGTTGCACGATTTCACGACGAATCTACTTAACCCGTTTCCGCACCATTTAGATAGACGTCAAAGCGTGGTAATGAAACCAGTTATATTCCAAGATACATTTAGAATTCATTACATTCTGTAGTTCTTTGTCTGATTGCTCAACCATCTCTACACTTTCGAGTTTCATTTACTATTCATCGTGGCTCACGATGTTTCGAAATCCCGGTCGAGTTGACCAGAAACTACAGGATCGGCCATAAAAAAAAGGTCTAGCAGGTACTCAGTGGGTGGTGGACCCGTACTTTCGCGCTAGTCTGCGGAACAAGTCGACGGGCCCTTCTGAAGCCCCCGTGCTTTTACATGGGTTTCCCTATGCTTTCAATTTTTTACTACGGTACTGTAGGCTACGCCGGTGCATCTCTCGAGACCAAAAGTTCGCCCCCTACCACGTAGAATTTTCACTTCACTTACGGTAATGTGAATAGGCTTTCACTCATGTTTACTGCGTACAGCTAATAACAACGAAACTGATCCAGCTATATGCATGTGTTATTTTTCCCGGGGGCAAAATTCAAAACGAATAATAATAAGTGTATTATTATATTTATATTTTTCGTCTTATATTTTCAATGCTCGATCAGGCGTCTATAGAATTGCGATCGATACTGTTTCACACGTCAAAATAAAATCAAAGATTGTCTGCCATCCATTCATGTTCTTAGTTCGGAATATTTACGTATTTCTTGTACTTCACGTGCTGTTCCACGTGTTCTCGTGGTTGCAGCAGAGCAATCGTTGCTGATGTGGTCCTAATGATCCAGCGGAAGAAACCAAAGTACGTTCATTAACAGTTACGCAAATTCGATTAAATATATTTGATGCATCAGGTATTATCCGTATTTACATGTACAACTATTACTTATTTTTTCATTCAGGGCGTTGAAGATAGTGTCCAAGGCAACCGTGCAGTTTCGTGCGTTGTATTACTTCATAAGTACATCTTGGATTATAAAAGCGGATAAACTGAAGAGTGTCATGAATCGTATGGATGCTACCGATTTAGAGGAATATTCATTTGATATGGCACTTATAAACTAGGTTGATGGGTCCGAAGTACTTGCTCGGAACGCTCGAAAACTTGTAAGAGACCCGATCGAAACGATTCCCGACGCGAGGAGGAGGTTCCAAAAGTTTAAAGTACTTCACTACACCATAGCCACTTCACTATGAATACTTGCATTTTTCTTCGTCTTTAGAATAATATTTTCACTGTTTCGTCACTGAAACCGCAATAAACGCAGCATAACAACATTATGAATTCGCATTGAAATTTATTCCGATAGTTAATTTATTCTCCTAGAACACTCTCTTCACCTCTCTCTCCTCATTCTCAACAACGTGTCGTAATAAATGCCAGTGATTGACTTTAATATTCCATTACAAAGTTCGAATAATTCATACGTACACGTGTGCATCAATTACACTGTAGATTTTTCTTGAAAAGTATCCAACATCTGCTATTCGTCATTTGCATGGCTACTTCAAGAAAAATATCTGTGGACCATTCTGGTTTTTGTACGCAGTATGCTTGAATAAATCGGAAGATACTTACTTATGATAAATGTTGGCAGGATACCCTGTACACGACGGCGCAAAGCATTTAAGAGCATTTCATCTGGCAAATTATCTGCTAGCAATCTTACAAGTCGGATCTGCAAACGCGCAATTATTTTAGAGTCCGCCTTGCGTTTTTGTAATAACTCCTTATATTTATTTCTCCATTCCAATTGATTCATGCGTGCACGATTCAATTTGAATTGAAGTATAGAAATTTCATCGCGATCGTTCTCCTCGCGAGCCGATTACGATGCGTCGATGTGTGATAACAAGCACAATCACACTCAACCTTATGGCGCACAAGGAACACAAGCCACGCACCTATTGCCACTAAGTCTTTACACTTTATTACAATAAGTGTATCTAACACAAATCATAAATGTTAATCCTTTCCTACACTATTTCACAAACTGTATATACAACTATTATTGACTACAGTATTAAAATATTCTACTAGACACTAAGTACCGAACGACTGCTTCACCAAGCACACAACGTATACGTGACGAAAAGCAACGTCGAGTAATGAAAAAATTACTACGTTGGTGTAAGCCCCTAAAGAATCGGCACATTTTACCTGGCCCACCACTTCCAAAGGAAAGAAAACTATGTAAATAGTCTAGCCGGATAAGACGGTCAAATGTGCCCTTGAACGAAATTCAATTAGTACTGAACAATTCGATAGTGTCCATCGAATTTTATGCTAATTTTCAATCCGGAGGGCAGTTTTAAATACTTAATCAATTTTAGTGTTTTTGCCTTACTTCTCCCATTAAGCGTTTAGCGAAACATTTGGAAAAATTGTCACACGTTCGTGGGACGGTACTCGATATCAGAGAATACTTCAAAATTTTTTCCTTCTGTAGTTCTGTCGTGAAACATAAAAAGTGCTAAAAATGTTGATATTAATCCAAAAGATTTCGAGATACATCATTTATATTTTTATGGTAGACGTGCCTCAGCCCAACTATTGTACCATATTTATTTCAGATTTTTCGACGAAATGCGCGGTACTTCAAAAAATCGGCTTTCGATTTTTGCAAAGTTTTTCGCGTGGTGAAATTCTTTAGGATTCGAATTTTTATATTTTCTGCTCTCACTACTCGTACTTTTTTATCTTCAATACTTTTGTACACAACAGCATTAAGCATCAATTGAAAATCCATTGAGGTATTAAATACCAATTACTTTTATTCTTACTTCAAATACAAAATATGGTGTCCACTAATGAAAATAAAGTAATACAAGTGCGACAAAATTTGAAAATGATGGGTAATCTATTTCCGAAGTACTAATCTCTTAGAATCTTACTGAGAATTGCAAGTTTCAGATTTATACAAATTGTATTGGCAATTTGTTAATACATCATATGGATGTAAAAACTGCATTTTTGAATGGTACTTTAAAGGAAACGGTTTATATGAAAGTTCCTGAGGGAGTACCAAATGAAAGCAATAAAGTTTGCAAACTAAATAAAGCTATTTATGGTTTCAAACAAGCAGTAAGATGCTGGTTTGAAGTATTCGAAAAGAGTCTGATAGAAAAGGGTTTTTGTAGTTCATCAGTTGATCGTTTCTGTATTTAGTTGTTTATATATTTTAGATCGTGGAAGTATATCTGAAAATATATATGTTGTACTATATGTGGATGATCTTGTGATTGCCAGTGCTAATAAAGAAACAATGACCAATTTTAAAAATTATATAATGAATAAATTCAGCATGAGCGACCTAAAAGAAATTAGTATTTTCTTAGGCATAAAGGTTAATAGAAATAATGATTCAATAATCTTGGATCAAATTACATATATTACAACTGAATTAGAGAAATTTAAGATGCTTGACTGTAAAGAGTTGTAAGTACACCACTTTCAAGTAAACTGGATTATATTGCCTTAAATTCAGATGATAAATATGACGCACCATGTCGGAATTTAATTGGTTGCTTAATGTATATAATGATATGTACAAGATCGGATTTGAGTGTTGCAGTTAATATTCTAGGTAGATATACTAACAAAAATAATAAAGAATTGTGGCAAAATGTAGAAAGAATATTAAGATATCTCAAGGGTTCAATTAATCTAAAGTTAAATTACGTGAGAAGTAGTTATAACAATATTATAAGTAGTTTTTTTGATGCCGATTGGGGAGTTTATGATGAAAACAATAGAAAAAGTACAACAGGATACTTATTTCAATTGTTTGAACAATGTACAATATGTTGGTTAACAAAAAGACAGTCATCGGTAGCTGCCTCGTCAACTGAAACAGAATATATGGCGCTTTGCAGAATATATGAAGCTGTCCGAGAAGCAATATGGCTTAAATCTTTAACAGTTAGCATAAGTATAAATATTTCAAAGCCGATTATAATCTATGAAGATAATAACGGCTGTATAAATATTGCAAATAATCCATGCAATCACTGAAGATCGAAACATATTGATGTCAAGTATCATTTCTCTAGAGAACAAATAGAGAAGAATGTTATTAAACTTGAATTTATCTGTTCAGAACGCCAGGTTGCTGATATTTTTACTAAGCCTTTGTCAGCAGCTAAATTTCTTGAATTCAGAACAAGAATGGGGCTGCAGTAAACTGGTATTCTGGATATATATTTTTTGTTTTGTATTATGATACACATTTGAGATAGTCTTATTACGCTTTACTGGGTTTCCCTAATCCTCACAACAAATGTTGGGCTATGTGCAGTTCCCCAGAGTAGCACCCCAAGAAAGGATAGTCTTTAGTTTTAAATTCCTTTGTTTTGCGTTAACTGTAGAATCTATTTTATTTAAAATGTGCAATAATATTAAATTTAGTCATATGCTTTTTAAGAAAGTTTAAGTACAATCGATTCACCTTTGAGGGGGCGTGTTGAATTATTCCTGAAACTAAGATAACAAAAATGAATCTGTGTTTGTAAGTAAATGTCCTGTCACGACATGATTTTCTCACAAGGCATTTGCTAGAGGCCTTGGTCGTAAATTACTGTGCTTGGTAGGGGTCGGTTTTCTAAGATAACGAAACGTTTTTAAAGGGAGGTAGACCGTTGTCCATTGCGAGTCACTTCGAGTGCGGATTTCGTTGCATTAAGACATCCTTCCGAGTCGTACGAAATAAAATATTTTCAAAGTCATGAAATACTTTCTTTTATTTAACCCACTAACCAATAAAGGTCAATTCCCACAGAGCTTAAGGTGCAGTGCGGTGCGGTGCGGTGCGGTGCGGCGCGGCGTTTTTCAGTCCGCCGTTTTTCAGTGCACACTTGGCGGGGCAACCACTGCCGTATCTTGACGTTTGAAGGTCCTAACTATGGTACTTACGGGGTACTCGGCATGAAATATTTTCTCATTTTGATCGCCTTCACCATAATTTTCATTCTATTTGTAATTAATATTCAATTTTTATTATAAGTAATAGGTATAATTAAAAAATTCGTTTCCAAGCTGCGTCCGTGCAACCGCCCTAACAGAGAACGCCCAAACATCTGGACGATTTTTCGGTCATACGATACCCTCTGTTTTATCGGACCGATTGGCAATCGTTTTGTCTTGGAGTGGAGACTATTGGCCTCTGTAGACCAACAGAGCGGCAGATCCTCCTCAGCTGGACAATCCTGAAGCAATTCTCCCGAGAGACGCGTGAAACCGAAGTCCGTGAGACGCTATTACATGAAATGAACCATCTAGGCAGGTTCTGCTCCGAGCTGCACAAGTGCAACTATTTAACCCTTTGACTACGGCAGACTTTGGCACGCACTGGCCGTACGGTACGGTACGAATTCATTCGAGACGTCCACTGGGTACGGCGAAATTTTTCGTAAGACATGCATTTCTGAGGAAGTATATTAAAATATTCAAAATACTGAAATTTATTACATTAAACGAATATTACTTGAAGTGAACATTAATTTTAAGCTTTTTTTAAATAACTTTCTACATTACTCTACATTACCATAAGACCAATTATAAAATTTTAAAATAGGCGGAACAAGCGAAATTTGATTTGGACGCCAATTGGCGCCTACAGTACCGGGAAGCCAATATGTTTCGGACGCCAATTGGCGCCTACAGTACCGGAAAGCCAATGTGTTTCGGACGCCAATAGGCGCCAACAGTAGTCAAAGGGTTAACTGGTCTTAACTCCACTGTAGATCGTCCAAGCGCCGACAACATCGTACGTCGGCTGCGACGCTATACATCGCGGTGCGCAACATGTGAGGAGGAGAGGAGCTTTGCCAACAGTTGTAGACCAGGCGTGGGTCCGTACGGAATGCACAATTGCCCCGGGACACCCAGCTGGAATGGGTTGTTATAGGATTCTTTTTTTACTTATCATTTATAGAAATATTAAAGGTACGTGTATGTAAACATTTTCATATCTTGTGTTAAAGATATGAATTCTCACAAATACAATTGTTAACCTTTTTTGTTATCTAAGAATATGCAGATAATAAATAACCGACCAATATTCTACAACGATGTTCTAATAAGCAACTAATAGGGCTAACATGGTACAGCACTCAATACCTTTTTAAAAAAAATGACAAAATTGATTATTCGCATATATCTCGGGAGATAATTTTCGGAGGGAAAAACATTCCAATATTCCACACATCTTAGGTTGGTATCCTTCGATAGAACGTCATTTATTTTACTATTTTTTTTATATGTCAACTTTATTATCTTTTAAACTCTACACCCTTACATACATTGCTTCACCTATGTGCATTGAAAGTTTAAATAATTAATAAATGCGAGAATGAACAACATTCAGTCACACTGAAAATGTAGAAGAAAACAGTAATAAAAATTACCTGCTGTATTTGATTCAGTAGTTGTTGAAGGGCAAGCCGTTTTCTCACATCTGGGATTGCGAGCAGCAGGTCCAAAAGACAACACTTTGTGACGAACCGTCACGTTACACCCTGCGACCTCGAATACGGCCACCGGCTATCACTAGTCACTTATGGACGCACGATGTTCACCGCTCGGCGTTCAGCGAGCGAATTGCCCACTAGACTAATCCAAAGGGCTATGGTTTTAACCCCTTTTTATACCCAAAGGAGCTCGTCGCCCGGAGTGGGAGACGACCATATAAGGGCATTTTCTAGAAGTTTCTATGCTCGCCTCGAACATGTTCCTTCCATGGAGTTAAGGGATGCGTCACCCTGAAGCGGTGCATGACCATATAAGGGCATTTCATAGAAAGTTCGGCTCGCCTCGGCTCTGATTCACCCGCGCAAAAGATGCGTAAGTGACCAGATCCGAATGTTCTGGAAGCGTCGAGGAGGCGTACGTAACATCAGCATATTCTCGACTCAGCTATTACTGGCGAAAATGTGTTTCAATGTTTGGTGACCTCACATAGTAAACACAGCTTACATAAACACACTGAAAAACACAATATTGCTGATCTATTCAAGCCAATGCTCGCAGTAAGGTAAAGGTACCGGTCGTGGAACGCTTTTTTGGAGTTGTTAGATTACAACTGAAGTTTCAATATGATAAATAGCTAAAATGAAAAAACTTTTTACGTTAATCGATAGCCAGGCATTCAAAGATCATTTCCCACGGGTAGAGACTAAAAATTTGTTTAAAATCAACATTTTTAAAAATAAACTACCATAAGCTCTGAATGTACGTATGTTGGAACGCCTATTTTATAGGTTGTCCCCCTGTTCCAAAATCAATGCCCCGGTTATGGAACAAGCGTCCGATATCGCACAAATAGGAAAATGAAATTGCAAATAAATACAAAACAAGTTAAATACTTAATTGTCTTTATTATATTTTTTCTTTCTTAATTTTAATTTGTGAACTTTTTATTTCTTGTTGGATGGTTTTCAATTTTTGCTCCAATGATTTTTTCTCTTTTGCTAACTTGTTTTTTTCTTCTTGTAAAGCTTTTTTCTTCGCAAGCTTTTCTTGTTCAGCTTTCTCAGCTTCTTCTTTTTCTTTATGTATCTTCCACCACTCATCTGACGTGCCAACACAAGGTAGTCTAGGTTTTCTTGATCCTCGTAATTTCATTTTTTTATTCTTCGGTAAATACTCTTCAGGTAGTATAAGAGCATCGGCAAAACGGGGTTTAATCTCACCTACAAAAATATATATATTTGCATTATATACTTATTAGTACACATTTTTTTTCAAAATTATATTTAATCAAATTCTAACTTTTATGTGATCTTGTGCTTAGATCGATTACATTTTCAATATTGTTTTCGTGCCTGTTCAAAGGCAAAGAATCACTATTGTTAGAACAGTCGTTTTTCTCGTTAGAATGATGTTTTTATCATGTGGTGGAGCACGTGTACCATCAGCAGCATACATGAATAATGCTGTTATACTTTCCTTTTCATATCCGTGAACAACTTTGTATGCTGTAGTTGCACCTTTTCGAGTTAATATCTTCTCGGATTTGGGTATAAGTTGTATATTTGTTTCATCACAATTAAAAACTCTTGACGGATGGATGTTAAGTAAGTTATTTTTTACTAAGTATGCTTTCACTTCTTCGAACCACCCTCTCAAATCATCTTCACTGACTTGAGCACGAATAAGTGTTAACTGTTGAGGTGTTCTAAGAGTGATTTGTTGGTGACGCTGTCGAAAATTTTCATACCAATGACGACCTGGCCTATCATTGGTAAAAGGAGTTTGTATTTTCAGTCTACGTATATAAGCTTGTACACTATCTAATAATTCAGTCTTAGACACCGGGTAATCTCTTTCTGCTCGATATAGTATCCAGTGGATAATTTCTTTCTCTACTTCTGTAGATAAAATTGGAGCCGGACCATGCCTTGAATTTAATTTTTTAGGATGTTGTAATGCCCTGTGAATAGAAGTTGCTGGAACTCCAAATTTCTTTGCAGCTTCTCTGTAAGATAGACCCTTGTTCACTGCATCGAGAGCCTTTTGGACATCATCAGAAGAATACTGTTTCCTTTTATCTTTTTTCTTCTGATTCTTAAGTACTTTTTTCTTTGTCTTTTTTTATGAACACCTCATTCTTGCGCTGAATCAGTATTTGCGACTTACATTTCTTAGTTTTCTTTACACTTTCAAGTTTGTGTTTACTTTTCATGCTGTTCTTTGTTTCAACATTTGATTTTTTCTTTACTGCCATGTTACCTTTCTTTTAACT